CCTGCTGATACGTGGTTCACTCAGTCTCATGGGATCTTTCTCATCCTCTCCCAGTCCGCCCTGGATCTAAGCAGTATTCCTGCCACATAGTATCCCTTTAAAAAGTGTTGCTGGGGCTTTCCTGGTGGTGTTCTGCTGGCTGCAGTATTTCAGAGGATTTACAGGCAGTGATATCATCTTCACAGCTAAGTGGCTGTGAAGTATCTTAAGTATCTTTGCAAATGAATCTTCACCCTACAGCGCACAGAGATCTTCTCTTTGACTGCCCTGATGTAACATACTCAGTTCTTCCCTTTATCCTCTAGCTCTGTTGCTTTCTTCTCTTAAGTTAAGGGCCATAAAAAACCTCCAAAACTTTAATATAGTCTGTTGATGTCTCCTTCAAAAGACAGATTCTTCATGTGTGTGTTTAGTAATATTTTGAAATCTTTTCTTCTCTGTCCTTTCCCAATGAGAAAGGGAGTCTCTACTGTGGTAGCTGATCCTGATTACATTAGTAACTTTTTATATCCGAATCTGCGTGTATTTGTCTTCTTTAAGTAGCCCCAAATCTGTTATTTTCCCCCACTGTTTACTCTAAACCATTGTTCTTCCTGCAGAGATTGGGGAGCAGGTTTTGCTGCTCAGGAAACCAACTGAAGATCCACAACCAGAAATCTGGAATTGTGTCACAACCTGTCCCTTGGGACCACGGTCTCCAAACCTCTTTGATTGTGCACTTGTAGCGCTCACCTCAAAATGTTTGTTTATAAATTATATACTTTTACTATATACATTATAAAATGAATGCAAAAATGTACAACGTCCCATTATTCCAGAGTGCTAAAAGGCAGCTCTTTTATCAGTCTGGGCTGGGTTTGGAGCTGTAGCCTGAGGGGGGTAGATCTACCAGCCAGGAAGAGTCCTTTCTTGCAAGGATCCCTGGATCACTGGAGAATTTATTTTCGTGAAGGGCTACAACCAGTATGAAAAGATATTCAGCCCGTTTTAGCCCAACGGCCTGTTCGTTTTTGATATCTTCTAAAGAAAATTGCAGCGTCTTAAAATTTGCATTAAACAGATATTACATCCTCTTTCTTGCGATAAAATCGGAAGCATCTCTACAGAAAACGTTATCACAGCAACAACGTAAAACGATTAAATAACTGCCAAGGGAAAGGGATAAATGCAGTTTCTGTCTTTGGGAGGTAACTATGGCCAGGCACCATTTTAACGTTAAGAAGCTTAGGATGGCAAAGTGAGGCAGAAAACCAGCCATCTGGGGGAGCAGATGTTTACAGGTTGCTGTAAAAGCTGCTTTGAAGGAATTATTTTGATGAAATCAAGCAATTACGGGGTTATTCTCTATTAAAATTCTAACTGTGCCAAACTTCTCTTTAAATTCGCTTCCCCTCCGAGACTTCAATTAAATTCAGATTAGTTTATAATCACGCGAAAGAAGAACTAGTTCTTTATTCCTTCGCTGCTGAGCGAACTTTGAACCCCTTGTGTTAAGGTAATGCGGTTATTTCTAACGGGGCAAGACTTCAAATCTTCCTAATGGCGAGTTTCCCTCGGCGTGTTTGAGGAATATATTTTTTCATTAATTATTCCTGCGGGCCGTCATCACCGCTAAGTCCTCTCCAGGAGCTGGAAGAGAGATCCTGGCGTTAAAATCCAAGGAACCCGGCGATGTTTATTGACCTGCTTGAGGGCAGGGCCATCTTTGCTCCTGTATTTCTGAAGACCTGAGCTGAGGATGGTTCCTCATTCCAGGATACTTTCTCCTTTCGAGGATACATGCAGCCCGTGGTTAGAGGATGTGACGTGTCCTAGGATCGAGGGAGAAAAGTCCAAGTGTGGCAAGTTTCATCCTACTGAGACTTGATGTCAACTGAAAGGAGACTTGACAGAAAACTGTTGTTTCTTCTCGGTCAGAAACAGTCAAGAGGTTAGAAACGCCTTCTGGAGAGCAAGCAAAATGAAATTATTTCTTTTCGTGGCACCGCTCTCGCTTTTCCTGTTCACGGATTGCGCTCAGCACCTTTCGACACAGCTTCCGTGGCATTTAAAAATAGAGGATGAAGAGAGATCGATCCTTGGCCGTTGCTCTAGAGTATAACCTTACTAGTTTCAGGGCAGGAGTGTGTTACAGGCCACCAGTCACATCCTGTGTTGTTAAACTCTTTATGCTCATTGATAGCGGATAGAGCGGCTGACCTCAAGAAAAAGCCAAATTTTCATCATTTCTGTAGCCTCCGTGGAGGTGTGACCTCATGGCCACAGAGAGAGAATAATCCTGTTTATTCCTTGACCTAGGTTTAGGGTATAGAGTTTAGGTTTAGACAGAGGCAGCAGCTATATTGAACTCAGGAATCATTTAGAAAAGACTCTTCAAAGACAGATCCTTAGCAGAGCCACAGAACGTGGACAAGCAAACCACCACAATAACTACTTTTAGTGCTGGCAAACTTGATTTTGCTTTTAAGTTAAAAAAAAAAAAGTCTTAAGCAGTGGAATTTAGTATTTCGTTGCTGTGGTTGTGAAAATTAACTGTTCTGATGCGGAGACTGAGAGTACTATGAAATAGTTGCGTGATGAATATTTAATATATTTGCTACACAGGATTGTCAGCTAAACATTATATGAAGTAATAGTGTTTCACCTTGTACAGAAAACCGCTGTCATGCAGCGGTTCAAGAGTCAGTCGATGATATCTTACGATGTCTGCTACGAATTCTTGAATAGCATTGCAACAATCTGTGGAAAATGGTTTAATTCAGAATGAAATTGTGAGATATTTTTTTACTTCACAGCATTCCTGTGTGCCTGTCACACACCCTTCGAGCTTAACTCTTGTAGATCCTCACCGTTACCTGCTGGTTTCACATTTGGGTTCTGCAAATTTCTGTATCCTGGTTATAGAGCAGAATTAAAATGCTTGTGTATTGTTCAAATTAAATATTGTTTGATAGCGTGTTGATGTCAATAGTGCTTTGTTTGCAAAAATGAAAGTAGAATCTGTAAATAGTTGAGTGTTCATCAACTGAAGATAAATATTTATGTGCAACCCAGTTGCGGTGAGTAAATGAAAATTGAAAGTTGCATTATTTGTTTGACTTCTCCAGACTTTCATTGCATTTTTTCTGAATTAATCCACAAAACTTCTTTAAAAATATTAATTTTTAGTCGTTCCTATTCAACTGTGTAACCTCAATTTCCACTAAGTATTTTCAGAATACGAACGAGCTTTCCAGTGAGTAATAAACCTATTCTAAGCCTTCATTTGAATAAGGAGCAAGCTACATGCTTGAACGAGCGTAGTGTTTGATGGGTTAGAAAAAAAGCGTAGATACACACTTCACACACACATTGCAGCCTTTTTTTAAAAAAAAAATGCCTTTTTTTAAAAAAAAAATCCCTTTTACGCCGCCTTTCAGAGAACAATGCGAGGAGTTCCGCGTACAGCAGATGAAGAAGCATCAGAAGGAGGTGTGTGAAGACCGCCTGGCCCAGCTAGCTCTGAAGGAAGAACTGAAAAAGCAGCGGATGAAGGAGGAGCAGATCTTTGCGGAGCTTTGGAAAGAGGACAGGGCGGCTAAGGAAAAGCGAGAGGCGGCGGAGACGCGGAAAGCAGCGGGCCGGATCCGGGAAACGCTGGATGCGCTCAGCGCCCAGGTAGCGGCGCTCAGCGCTCACAGAGAGGAGGCGAAGCGGCTGAAGGAAGAAGAGGCTCGGTTGCTGGTAATTTCCACCTCATTTTCAATTCAAGGCTGTGTATCAGGCCTTTAGATTAGTCCATATCTTATTTGTATCTTCACCGATTCCATTAATATCTGAGACTGTCCTGGTATGCGAAGCCTCTTTTCCAGACCTGTGGCAAATGCATTCCTGTTTATGGAGGGAAATACACCTTTGAAAACTTGTCATCGTAAAAGATTTTGGCATTCTTGTGGGAAATGAAAATATTTTTAACCTTTTGCCAGACATCTTTGAGATTTTCTTCTATCTGGTTTGAGAGCAGGGCGGGACAAGAGCCCGCCAGTACCCGAAGGAACGGAGCAGAGCAGGTGTGCAAATGGTAACTGAGAGCGTCTAACAGTCCAAACTGCTCTGCAGGTCTGTGGGGATGAGCTCCAAGATGAAGCCAGGAAGTCAAATCAAGCAGGTCTGGATCAGGATTGACCTCAGGCACGGACACGCTCGCGGAGGCAACAAAAGCGAGAGACTGAGCCGAGCTGCGGCTCCCAAGCAACTCCTCTCAGCCCTTTCTCGCGCTGCTCCTTGCCAGCTTGCTGGGTGCAAGCACAGGCACCTGCAGGGAGGCTGCAGAGCACGTTGGTGCGCTCAGGACCCTGACACATATGTCAGGACTGGATTTCAGAACCTACATCTCTTTTTTTTTTGTTACTTTTTATTTTTTTAAGCAAATGAGCAAGCAGTGCAGAAGTTCTCCTGCCTGTTAGTGCTGGCTGCTGTTGAACGTCACAGCGCAGGAGGCATTTGGCCCCAGTTTTTTCCTCCTCTCTGTAGCTGGGCTGGTTTTAGTGAAGCTTGCTAGTCCTGGGTTGGCTTTGTGAGTTCTGGGAGGCTGTTTAGTTCAGACTCAATCTTCATTTTGGAGCTATTTCCACGTAGTGATTGAATGATCACTCAGGGTACTCCGTTAGGCACCGGAAGCTGATGCTGGCAAGATGTATAATCCATTGCTTTCAAAAATAATAACAATAGGAAGTCTGAAGCTCTGAAAATCCTGTCTGTAAAACAACGAACTCCTTATTCCTGGCTAGGCTGTGATGTTTCACTTATTTAAAAACATGCAGAATAAGATTATTTTCATGTCACAACTTTTAAGGTGCTGCCAAACCTTCCAGGCAAAGAACGTTTCTACTTAACTGGCCTTTTCGGATAAAAAAGCTGTTAGAATGGAAGACTTTGTAGCTTCACCTGAAGAGCCTTGGGCTCTGTCAAGGATATAAATTTCTGGTAAAGTTGTTTAGTCCCTGGAAAAAAAAGCTTTCTTCAAAGAGCCTATAAAGGAGAGTTTCTGTATCGAAAATCGAATGCCATCTGCGTACATTTGCGGTTTGGTGTTACCCCATCGTATAAAACGCCGTGGAGTAGGCACCGTAGACCCCCATAGCTACTCTCATACAACTTCACTGATGGCAGAATTCAGCCCAAGACATGTGCCAACAACTTGCCCAGTAGACCGCTAACTATTTCCATGTCCTTTCTGTCTTTACTATTCCAAATTTTTTGGATTTATTGGCTTTGAAAGCCGTTTTGCCAGCTCGTCAAAGTGCATTTGGCCACTCAAGAAGATAACAAAGTCAGTTTTGTTTCTGAAACACTAAAAGAGTGTGGCTGCATTGTGATTTTTTTTTTTTCTTTTGGCTTGAATATACGCTTATTTCTCCGTGTTTCTTTCTGAAGAACTCTACTGTCCGTTTCCCTCTTCTTTCCAATATAAAGCCACAGGAATTCAGCAGCTGCCCATCAGGATATAAGGATCCAATGACTTTGTGCAGCCTTTTGTTCGCTCAAGATGCATCCAGCACAGACACAGGGCAGGCAATACCTGCAGAAACAGGAGGAAGACATAGCTCTGTTATCAAGTTAATGGTTGTGGCAGCGTGTGAAGCCTTGGATACAGATCATATGTGCTGCAGTGACACTGATTTCTCTAAAGACGTGACTCTGTTTATCCACTTGAAATACTTGGGAGTACATCAGGCATTCCAGTGTTTTGGTATCGAAGCGCATGTGGTAATTAAAGAGAAAAATTCTGAATTCCAATCAATGCTATGCTAAAGCGTTCGTGCTTTAACAGGCCTAATGGATGTCACTAATTCTCTAATATCAACAAGAAAGGCTTCAAATATTCATCTTTGCTCTTCGGTGTTGCAGTTAAACTGATTTTAGCCATCACTTAGTTTGAAGTTACGCAATGACTTTACAATTTTTACCCTTGTAGGAAGAAGAGCAGCAACTGCTTAAGCTAGAAAATGAACAACTTCAGATGGAGAAACTGCAGAAACAGAAAGAATGCAGAGACACGTTGCTCGGGGCAGCACAGGACAAGAGGAATCGTCTTAATGAAGAAAAGCAAAGTGAACTCGCCCTAGAGATGAAGATCTTGGAAGATTATCTTCAGCAACCCCAGGAGGACGCTGAGGAGAAAACAAAAAGAAAAGTAAGGGCTGGAGGTGTTTATTACGAAGTTGTGGGGCAACAGACTAATTTTGTGGCCCTTAGTGAACCGCACAGTATAAATGAGATTAGACACAAGGCGTTTTCTCTGAGCAAGTTGATTCTTTTGTCGCGTGGTCTGTTGCTTCTCCTTCTCCTGCCAGCACTCTGCTCCTCTGAAAAAGTCCACAATGAGTTAAAACCACAGGGAATACTTAAAAGCATGCTTTGCAATCAAGAAATCCTGGAATCTTGTCCTTCTATGCTGATTTCATTGTGTGTAAATCACCTGAGACGCTGCCTTGGATGTAATGGAGGTTAGAAAAATATCTTTTGTTTCATGGACCCGATTTATTAAGTGTTTATAACTGCGGAGCAAAGTAAATATGTAACAGTCTAATTCATGAATACTAAGAAATGAGTTTAAATCTTTAATAGCTGGATATATAGATGCAAACCCTCATATCAAATATATTGGACGTGCCGTGAAACGACGGATGTGTCACTTCGTAGATTTAAAACAGACTCTCCGACTTCAGGACGCAAACAAGTCTCAAAGTAACTTTAAGAGACAGCAGGGAGCTGCCTTCATTGCTCTGTTCAAGGTGTTCAGAAGCTCAGGAAAGTTGTCTAAAGTCACTGTTAGACCTTGGCACAAAATTAGAGGTAGTATTGTATTTTTTGAATGCCTAATGCTTCTCATGCAGGTGATGAAGTAGCCTGGCAAGCTGTGGAAGGTTGGTAAAACGTCCGTGTTGTAGGCAGCAGAGTTGCTATGGGGCAAAGGATCGCTTTTTATCTGTTCTGCTCTTGCAACAGCTGCTTCTGCTGTTGTCCAGACTGGCCAGGAAGAAGGTTCTGCGCAGGGTTTGAAATGCAGCTCTGGGCTCCCACACTGGCCACAAACCGCTACTTCTCTTTGTATTTGGAGAAGCTTTTTTGAACTCATTTACTCAGGTTGGCAAATGTCTCTGTGTTTGCAGCAAGAGCTGTTCAAGGAGCAACAGACTTACCGAGCACACTTGGCTCAACGGCTAGAGGAGGAGAAACAGCGAGAAAAAGAAGAGGACCAACTCTTCAAGGAAGAGATGGAGAAGGTTTGGGCCAAGAAGGCTGAGCAAATGCGATTAGAAAAGGAGGCTAGAAAGCGGCTACTGAAAGATGTCCTGGATACAAGACAACTGCAGATTGAGGAGAAGCGTAAGTAAGAACAGCTCGCTGGCCGTGCACGAACGCAAGCCTTGACAAAGGCAGAGGGAGTACAACACATGATTTTGGGGAGAGCGTCGGGCCTGGCATGCACAGGCTGCAGGGTTGTGCGGACAACAACGCTGCTGTCTCTGAATCTGCTGCTGAAACTTCACTCCTATAGGCGTTCCTTACACTAATTTCCCATTGCTATCACCAGAGCAAAACCTAGTAGAGTAAGGATTGCATGAGCATGCAGTCATTATTATTAATTACATTATTATTATGAAGTTCTAAATGGGAAATGTTTTCTGTTCTGAAAAAAACAATTAAGCTGGGAATACACTTGCACTTGTTTGTGTGCCTCTCCAGAAACAGAGAAATTCTGGCTCGCTATTTAGGATTGAATACAGTCTCACTGTCCCTTCAAGCTTAGCAGCGCTGTCATCTTCTCAAAGTTTGTTTGTTTTGCAGTGCAGAGAAATGCAAAGGAGCAGGAAGAGCTCGCTCGAGAGAGGAAGTTGTTAGCTGAAGCAATTGCAGAAATCGAGCACAAAGAAGAGGAAAAATATGCAAGGTATTTTTCTCTAATCAGTTCATTTAATTGCAGGTCAATCTTTTAAGCTTGTGAGTAGGGTAATTCTTCTTTTCAGATAACTCTTAAGAGCACTGGGTGGGCTGTTTCTGTTCAGAGAGGCTCTGCCACCGTGCAGCGTGTCAGCTCTGAGCTGCTCAGTAACAGCCGTGCTATATTCCAGTTGGGATTAAATCACTAAATCTGATCTCATCGCTCAGATAATGGTGTTTCTTTCGGTCTTTTTGTGACTTACATTGATCCTGTTTATTACCTACATCCCCACGTACTCTGAGCTATTATTATGAGGAGCAGAGGTTTGGGGAGGAGGTTAATGAAAGGTGAGATCGTTCCTTACCTCGGAGAACTTGTGTGTTCAGCCTTACTGCTAAGCTCCACCCACACATCCCTTCAACAATCAGAGAGTCGGCCACCAAAATACTTCATGTACCCCAGCTGCACGGGCTTCTCTTTGCCTTTCCGTTCCTCAGGGTGAAAATATAGTTCTACGCTGTAGCTGAAATTTTCCTCTGGGTGTCACACAAAGCCTTTATTTCACTTCACTCTATTTCCCTCGCTCAGCGCCTGTCGGGAAGGTAACCGAGCCGGTTTCTGTTGTGTTCTCTGACGGCCTTATTGGTAACAATCTCCTAGCGCTGGCACAAATCTCACCCTTCTGTCAAGGAAACACGCTGAGCTTCACGTTTGGCGACGCTTCACTTAGCGAAGACGGCATTCGGCAGCGTCAGCGTGTGTTGGTGGGGTTGCGTTAGCGCACAAGTCTTGGCTAGACTCTTGGCATTTTGTCCGGGATTCCTGCTCCCAAAGCGCCTGAACACGTTGGGAAACTTCTCCAGAGGGTTAGTGAAAGGAATAGGGGAGTCTCAAGGTAGGAGGGAAGAACGATTTCTCCCAAAAACCGTCTCTCAGAATATCCACGCGGCGCCGCAGCGGGAGCCCGCGCCCTGTCGAACCACTGGAATGACGGGAATGGAGATGGGCTGCAAGGCTGGGGCAGCGATGAACCCGCGATAGGGAAGGGCTCAGACCTGGCGCCCTCATTCTCCGTCCTCTCACCCCCTTCACTGTGAGTTGTTCTGGCTCTTTTTTCACTAAAGCGTCTGTAATCTGCTTTATAACATACAACAGAACGCAATTAAATCGCTGAAGAACGTAAGTTTATTAGCGCATTTGGTTAACGGAGTAGTAGTTCCTCCTAACACCTAAAAGGAGTTTTGAATGGCTCTTTATTCTAAGGTTGAATGTTAACAGATTAAATGATAATAATAAAAAAATACTTACTTTTTGGGTTTTTTTACCCACGCTTCATAAATAAGCTATTCCTATGTCATTTCCAGAAAAGTGAAGGAAGCAAAAGAATACCAAGAGCAACTCAGGGCTCAGATTGACTCTCGACAAAAGGCTTGTGCTGCTGAGGAAGAAGAGAAACAGCGAGAATACGAATTGCAGCTGGCAGCAGAGAGAGCTTACCAAGAAAAAATCCAGGACATTCTGTCAAGGCCTTGTGAGAAACTACTAAAAACTCACCCTTTGAGAAGAAAACTGTGATATTTTAGCTCACTCGGTTGCCTTAAAAAATATCTTCTAAGGGTGTTTGTAACTGACTTTAGTCAGCAGACCCCTGGCCACTGCGAGGCTCAAAATATTTAACCGGAAAACACAAGAAATGTAGTATTTTAAAGGTTATGTTTTCCCTATGGATTTTTTTTTTGACCTATCCAAATAATACAAGAATTCTGTATGTTCTCTGCAGTGTAATAATATATTATGATGACACAAATGATATGGAGGCATTCTTTAAAATCTGCACAAAGAATAGCTTCCGCAAACTTTTATTAAAATGCCTTTCGAACGGCAAATATTTGCAAAACCTTTTTTTGTACTTGGGCAAGAAGTACTTGGTGACTCATCCTAATTTTCCTTTACGCAGGAGGAGCAGTGGGTGACACCAGGAGGGAGCAAACTAGCTTCTTCTCGTGGCATTGCCCTCGACCGGCTCCTTGATAATGTATTTTCTTAGTTTGTCCTCTTTAGGGGAAGGACGTGAAGAATCCATTTGCAACCTCATCTTTCCTTGCTCTTAGACTTTGTAGCAATAGGAGGTGGTTTCTCTTTTCGTGCATTTTTCCGTTTGAGTCTTTATTGCTGGTTTATCTGCTGGTGTTTCTCTCTGCTCCATCAGCTTTTCACCTTCTACCATTTTTTCCTCCAACCTCTTTTCTTCTCCAACCTCCAGCCCTCACTAAGCTCTTCCTCTACCTTCTTCCTCCTCCCTATCTTCCCTTTTCAGTGTTTTTTTGTTGTGTGGGAATGTGAAGCCCATACAGAGGACTTCACAGCTGTTTATTCTATTTTGCAGGTGGGAAAGCCCATCCCAAATAATCGAAATAGTTTCATCAATCCAGCGAGCTCAGGTAGTCAATAGGTCTCACTGGCAGAATGATTAAAAGAGATTAATTTCCTGATCTGCCGCAGACTCCTGGTGTGGCCCTGCACAAGCAGTGTAGATTTTTCTTTATTGCTGTCACTCCTCTTTGAAAAATGAACACAATGGTACATTCACAATTCCAAAATTAATTAAAGTGTTTAATTAAAGGCCGTGACACTGTCGTTGAGTACACCCAATATGCAAGAGACGCAAAATACCACATGGGTGAGCTCGCTGGATTTGAGCAATCCAGAACTATAATAAATCTTTTTTTTTTAATAAGATAATAACTCAGAAGAGGTGGTCAGAGCTATCAAAGATTTATAAAGCGTCTGAGCTCCGGCTCCTGGAGGCAAAATTCCTCTGCGGTGAATGTGATGTCTGCACAAAAATAAAAGATCAGACGGGACGAGCTTTGCCCTCAGCATGAATGAATTCCCATGAGATAATAGGGAACCAAACTCTTTGGAGAGAAAACTCGCCGAGCGGTCGTGCCTTTGCCTCCCTCCAACCGACCCTGTTAGATTTGTGAGCAGGAACTCGCGAAACGGATCTGAAATTGTGGCTTTACGGGTCCGGAGAACCTCGGGAATGTTAGCTACTCGTCCCATGCCGGGGATTTCCCTGAGTGAGCGTTCCTAGAGCCGAACCATCTACCACACCGACAGCTCAAGGACGCTGCCGAGAGGGGAAGCAGCTGGGGCTGTGGCTGGGTGACTTCTCCTTGTGAGAAACCCAGAGACAAAACCACTGGCATTTAAAAACAAGGCAGTTACAGCCCCTTCATGTATACGAGTACTACAGCTTTGCAAAATATTCTTTCCTTTATTTTTTAAATTATGTTTTCATGTCGATAGAGAAAATGCACAGCTACGGAGGGTGTGGGTGACTTGCCCGTGGCAGAGCCGGGAACGCCAAGCCCCGTCGCGTCATCCCCGATCAACCACCAAGGTTTGAACCCCTGCGCTTGCCGAGGCTTTAAGACTTTTCTGCACTCCCGCTCTGCTCACAAAGGCTTTTATAATGACCCTTCGTTAATTATTCCTTACTTTAACACAGGTGGGAACCCTCGCTGCAGAACCGGCTAGTGCAGCCGTACCCAGCGTACGGGGACACCGCAGCCCCGGCCGGACCCAAGGATTGCGCCCAGATGTAGCACGTGGTGACTTCCGCACAGCCCAGGAGGAGGAGGAAAGTCTGGCTTTGAGGGACATGTAAAAATTCAGGACCTGAGGTGGCATTTAGCAAAAGTCAACAATGTCCTAGTGACATTTGGAGCTGGGGTTTATCAGTGTTCCTGCGCTGCTTGTCTGAGTTCGATGGCAAACTCGCTTTTGCTCCTCTACCTAAATAAAACCCCGAAGCCGCCGTGAAATGATGAGGTGCCTGTTGCAGAGCAGGTAACTCTGCTCCCAAAATCCAGCCCAAATACCCTTCCCATCGAGCCCTCCAGAGCCCCTCACTGCTCTGTGCCATCATCTGTTCGTCCCTGGGGTCTCCACACGTTACGATCGACCCAAGTTTTGAATCTCAGATAGGAAGAAGCTTCCGTCTCCTGAAGGTGACAGTTGGCAGCAGCTTGGCACGTAGGACACACTTCAGGGATTTTGTATGTATTTTGTGTTTTTTTTTATTTTCTAATTTTAATTAAAGTCTTAGATTATGGTAAATTTGATGGAAAATCACCCAGCACCAGCTCGTATTTCAGGGGAATGGCTGCGCTTCGCCTCTGGGCTTCACTGAAACCTTTGTTCCCGATTACACCAGTACTAAACATTTTGTTTCTGCAGCTGATTTAAGAAAAGGAGAGGAGCAAGTTCCCAGAGCCAGCAGCCATTTATCTGAATTCACCAAGGCCATCGGATGCCGGCGGCCATGCTCCCACCACATCGGTGCTGCTCCCCACCAGCCGGAGGGGACTACGGGAAAAGATACCAAAGGGGTGTTGGCTTCACCCCACAAGTGACGAGGAGCAGAGGGTGAGACCCCACCAGCGATCACTTGAAGGGAAAGCTGGGGATGCCTTGTGAGCGGCAAACATGGGAGGAGCGATCCCTGTTTACGGAGTGAACAGCTGTAGCAGAGAATAACCCTCGCGGAGGATGTTTTCTGCCTCCTTAGTTAATATGCAAAATACTTTGAGGCTTGGGGAAGGGTGGCTGGAAGTCCTGAAAAGGACTTGGATGTTCTAACTGACAGCCAGATGAATATGAGCCAGCATGTGCCCAGGTGGCCAAGAAGGCCAACGGCATCCTGGCTTGTATTAGAAATTTTGTGACCAGCAGAAGAAGGGAGGTG